GACTTTGCATGACCTAGAGGCATTTTGCCAAGACAAATGGCCAGCTATACCACCTGCAAGAATTTGGGGCCTCATAGACAACTATTACAAAAGACTGCATGCTGTCATTAATGCTAAAGGGGGCATACACGGTATTAAGAACTTGGGGTATGCAAGCTTTTGAACTGGGTCATTTCATTTCTTTCTTTGTTGCCATGTTTTGTTTTATGATTGTGATGACCTACAGTTGAATATGAATCTCATAAGAGATTGAAAGAAATGTGTTTTACCTGCTCACTTTTGTTTTCTTTACAAATGGTACATATATTACCAATTCTCCACGGGTATGCAAACGTTTGAGCACAACTGTATATAGACATGTGTGCCGTTACAGTCTGGTTTTATCACTACATTTTCTTCCTACAGCTTTTTTGTCATTGGCTGTGCATTTTATGTGAAATTTTAGAGGCATTTACCACCACAAAAAGAAATGCGAATGGAGTTTTATGAAAACTGGAGCAAAGAAAAGGGGAGTGATTACACACAGCAACAGCAATCACACAGACTCCTTTTTCTAGTCTCCCACCACAGGACAGGGTTTGTAAAAGGAATCCTGCTTGGTTGCTTTGAGAAATTTTGTATACTTTATTGTTCTACTTTTTACAAGTCAGCCTCATTTATTTATTTTTTGGTTATTTTATTTCTAAGCTGTTGTACAAAGGAAACCATAATAAAATAAAAAATGTCCTGCATATAACATCCTGTGCCCATTTGGATATATACAGTAGTTTTTAGGCCCACTAAATCTATGCAGCCTTTACTTGAGTATGTTTTGGAAATTACTATTGTTCTGTTAGGCCGAGTAACCGTGCCTTCAGTGTTATTTTTAGCAATAGAAGATATGTACTTTTATTAATACTCTAGAGGGGTTTTCAGTATGGAGTTTAATATTTACACTGTAATCTCTTAATTAGATACAAAAGCAGTTCTGCTCACTACAGGGTTTAAATCCGTAGCCAACAAGCTGGTGTGGAGGAAATGCTAAAATACTTTTTTTTTTTTTTTTGTGGGCCAGAAATTATCAACAGCTCATGTCATCATATACAGTATTTCTTTATCGGAATTATCCTAAAGTTGTATTAAACTGTCCAACTTTTTTTCAATAATTAATTCAGATCAAGAAAATGCACATTGCCCAGCAAAGTATTTTTTTACATTTTGTCCAAACACTTCGTCATCATGTTTCACAACAGCTGGCTCCAACTCTCTCAGGTCAGCTTCCCTGAACTTCCTGTCCAGTACAAGAGCACAAGGAACAGTGCAGTCTCCAGTAGCTCTCAATCTACTAGCTTGGAGGAGGGAAGAGGGGTTGCCATGCTGGTTAGCAGCTATTAGAATGTTTCTTACATATTTTATCCTTGACAGTCTGAATGATATGTTGATATTTTATGGTTAGATTTAAACCTGCTTGTAAGCACATACAGGAGATATGTGGGTAGAATCTGCCTATTTCCCCCTGTATTGGCTTATCTAACAGGAAATATTAGCAACGTTTTTTTTTTTTGTTTTTTTATCCCCTCTCAGACTGTTATTTCCCCCTAGATCTCTCAGATGTTTGTGTTTGGATGTGCATATATCATTACACAAACTAGTCAGAATTGGTCAGGAAGGTTGATCGTAACTATTTGCTTTATAAGTGGAACCCTAGGGCACCATAGGCTGTGCGAATTTTGCACAGTGTGTACTGCTGTTGGCCCCCTTTCGGTTGGCATCCCTCAAGCAGCTGATCGAAGGAGCTGTCCGGAAAATTTTCGTACAATCTGAGCCGGCAGCCAATGATACTCCGGCTCTGAACGGGTATTCTGACAGCAGCTGCTGTCAGAATACAATGGAAACACTGGTAGTGTTGATGAAGGAATCGGCTCAGTTTTTTTTCATTCAGCCCTCGGGTTGAACGAGAGGAATAGAGCAGTGTATGGCCAGCCTTAATCCACTTGAGACCACAATCTCAATACAAATTAGTAAACTAAAAGTGAGATTGTAGTCCATCACAGTAGCCACCCGCCAGAAGGAAGGACAGTGTCCGCATGAATTCAGAGATTTGAGGAACTTCAGCTAAGTGATACACAACTAAGCTACATTTTTCTAATAGTTTTGGTAGGTGAATGCATTTTTAAGATTTAACTCCCGAGTTTAGTGTAACTTTAAGGGACTGGGTTACTGAGATCTCTGTATTTCTATATTTCTGTATTTGCTTAGTAAGGGAATTTTGTAAAAATAATGAAATAAAATAAAATGTCAGTTAATAATCATTCATTACACATCTGTTTTATTGCTTTTATTATTACAGTTTAGTTAAAACTGCGGCATATGAGGTTGTTAAGCCGGGCCTAATCGTGTATCACATCAGTGGTTCTCCATAAACTTACTGCTGCATGAAAATAGCTGACTGGTCTGTGCTTTGTCAGTGTTCTTTGTTCAGCATTGCTCGTTTCTCACACTCAGCGTCACAAACTCCTCATGCGTAGCTATCCTTCTGATAGCCAGTGTAGAACATATCTCATAAACGATAGACTACTGAGAGAAAAATGCAGCAATTTCCAGAACAGGGCCTAATAATGTATAGAAAAATAAACCCATGAATGATCAACTGAGAATCGATTTAATATGAAGACGTGATAGGCCAGGAGTATGAATAAAGTGCTACTCCTCTCAGAAAGAACTGTGATTTTTAAATACCCTTCAGGTTCTACCCTCATTTATTCTGGTATTAGCAACTTTCCTGAACAAGTGTCTCATAAAGCAGAATTTGTAGTTTCACCATAGCTGAAGGGCTGCAATTCTGCTACTCAATGAATGCCAGCACCATCTTTTAGCCTCTCTTTCTAAGGTTCAGAGGCTGACCCATAAAGTATGCAAGCCATGTCTGCCCATATTGGAATACGGTTCATGCACAGGACTGTATAAAAAAAAACAAAAAACATTTTTCTCAATACAGTGGGGGTTTTTGGTGTATGGATCTGAAGACAGGTTGTTCTCTATTGGCCCATGCACACAGGTGCGTAACATATAATTTGTGTTACATGTTTGCAGAGCCAATGCACTCTATTTGAGCCGCATGAGTTCTTCTGTGCTAGAACACAGGTGGCACCAGTAGAGTGCATTTGTGCTGTACACATGTAAACATGGTTGTCCCCATAAGGAGGCATCCTGTTGCCTCAGGCAGCATCTTTTGGTTCACGGGGGGATTGGTTGGGGTCGACAGGTGGAGCGTCATGTCCACTCTGCTGCAAAATGTTTGCAGTGTGTCTGATCCCCCCTTTATGGCCAGAGCATCCCAGGTTGCTAAGAGCTGGCGGGGAGATGTGTAAGGGCCATACACATCTCTCAGCCCAGCACTTAGCAACCTGACCAGCTCCTGGCAACCAGTGATGTCACTGGTTGCCAGGAAGTGAGTGAGGTACTCTGGCTGATGTCTTTCCCAGCTCCAGTGACATCCATCAGAGCTGGGAGGGATGTTGGCCAGAGCCGGGCAGGAAGGTAATGCCAGGGCCAACCCCTTTTGTGGAGCCGGCTGTCTGCTTTACAATAGAAGCAATTCTGGGGCTCAGCTGTTGTTGGATCGCTTCTACGGGCTGGTAAAGTGCCC